AGGTATCTGTATTAATGTTCATTGCCACGTTTAATTTCCAGCTTTCAGCATTTAATAAACTTCACATAGAGCATGATATAATAAATGAAGGATTCGTGATACAAATCGGAAGAAAGCTGCTCCAGGTAGTTCAACCTGCAATTAGTTTCCTTTATATGTGCATAATCATTGGCTGGAACAGCACATTTATATGTATAGCCTGATATTAAAGCATTAGAGAGTTTCTCTTAGGCCCCCTCTCTCCAACATGATTGTTAACCCTAAGTTTTTTATTTTTTTATGGGCATTACCTATTTTATTTGACTTCCTATTGTAGCATGTCAAAAATTTGGAATTCATCTCTGTTGTGGATAAGCATGTAAATTGGATGCCACCATGTTTTAGGGAATGCCTATTGGCTCCATAGCTCTTATTCTCTATGCCCTTTTGCTTCAACTAGATTGAATTCATTGTGATATTTTAAATTAAACTTTGCTGAAGAGGAATAGGTGTCACCTACAATTTTATTGGGATTTCAGGTAAATGCAGCGTCATTAGGAGAAAGTGGTATTGGAGGAGGCAGCAGGGTTGGAACTTTTCTTGGTTGGGCAATGGCAACTATTTACATGGGTGGACGCCTTCCCCAAATTTGCTTAAATGTAAGTTTTACAGGAACCAAATGAGTAGTGTGCTTTAACTGTTTCACAGAAAAAGATGAAAGCGTTTAAATGCTATATGTTCCTCAATTTTGACTTGATTGCTGATGTCCCCTTGAACTTTCAAGTTTAAATTTCTAATCCTTCAACTTCTTAGTAACTATAGTGTTAGACTGAACTTCTATTAGATGTGTATAATTATGGTTCTTATACGTTGGTAACTTGAGGCAAGCTAGCATTCTATGTAAGACTTCCTCTCCTTGCCAGACCAAGTAGTCTAAGCATGGGTCCTCCACTTACTACATGCTGATCCTAAAATGAAATATAGCAAAGGATATCAGGTTTAGAATTCTAGAGGTTTAGATAGAACGGGATCTAATACCATGATACTCAACCATTAGACCTAAATGTTTAGGCTACTAGAATGGGGCCAAACTAATATTATGTCTGTTATAGTATTAAAATATTTCTTTCTAGTTGTCATAAGTTTTGTGATACAATGTGATTTGTTCACAAAGAATATGTTTAATAAAATAATTATTATACTACTTTTGACTAGTGGAGGAAGGATTGCCTTGGTATCTATCCTTTATTTGTCCAAAATCATGAAATTTTTTGGCAACATTTTGTTTTCAGCTGACAACTTGAATATCATGTATTTGAGTTGAACTTAATGTAGTTTTCCTGTTCAACTTTGCAGATTAGAAGAGGCAATGTAGAGGTAAGCACATTCATTAATATTTTAGTTCTCAATACCCACATGAAAGCAAGGACACACACAAAAAATTTTGGGGCCAGGTGCTGCTCCTTTTTGTTTATAAAACTTTTTGAATCACTGGAATAAGCATGTAGCATATTTAGAGCTTGTTTTTTCTACTTGGGATTAGAGGAAAAAGTATTCTGTGAATTAGAGCTTTTTGAAAAGTGCTTTGGAATTAAAATTATTTGAAAGAATTAATAATATCTTTTTCAGCTCAAAAACTTCGTTCAATACCTGTGTCAATTGTTAATGCTGCCTTTTCTTCCCGTAAAACTGCAAATTGGACCTTGAACATTTAGTCTTGAGAGCTTATTTTCAGCTTTTGGAAAAGTTTCAAGACTTTTGTCAAATGCTGCTTAGCTATCTGAAATAAAACAAAAAAATTCTTTTGTAGCTAGCCATATAGGCATGACACTTAATATATAGCTCTTTATCATTGTCACCGAAATGAGAGAACTGAGAAAGAGAGGGAGGAAGGCTGGGAGGGGACATGTTGTATTTTTATCAATTTGCATGCAGGGTCTGAATCTTGTGTGGCTTGTCCATGTATGCAGGGCCTGAACCCTTTTATGTTTATCTTTGCTTTGGTTGGAAACTCCACATATGTTGCAAGGTAAATTTGTTCAACTCATCATTGATATTTGGCTTCACTTCAAGTTCTATTCATCATTTTATTGAGTGTGGTTTGTACTTGAGCCATTTCTCAGCTACCTAATGGTGCATATTGGTTCCACTGTTTTTGTGACCTTTCCTTTTTCTGTTTCCCTGTAGCATACTTGTCAAGAGCACAGATTGGTCAAGAATCAGACCAAATTTACCGTGGCTGGTGGATGCAGCAGGATGCGTGCTGCTTGATACTTTTGTATCCTTATTAAGGATGGTTCTGATATGATACTTTTTTATTTTTGTAATGGATGTGTTATTTAGAGGCACAAACCCTGAGATGTTTTTTTTTTTTTGTGAAGTAGCACTTTTTTATTTTTATGGTGTGCCTAATGTTGCCCTCTGTTTCTCCTTAGAATCATGAATTGAGTTGCTACAGTCACCCTGAAAAAATTTTATATTCTTTGTAGAACCTTATCGCATTTTGCAGATACTGATTCAGTTCATATACTTCTGCTATTGGGCACCTCAAGATGCAGAGAATAAGCATGAAAACTTGAATGCACCTTAAATGACGGCAAAATAGCCTTTTGTTGAAGGTTCTCTCTCTCTCTCTCTCATGTGAGTTTTTGTTCATATGTGTGCATGCGCCTGTTTAAGGGTCTAGGCGGTATTTATAGTTAATATATATTTGAATGATTTAGATTATTAGTGGGCTTTACTAGTAACTTCCTATATGCACTTCATGCCTTAATGTTGGATTCTCAATTTGCTTACCCAGTTATCCTACTTGAACAATGGTTTTACATTTTTTTTTTCTAATTAGGAGTAAGAGGTGATTTTAACTGAAATTCTAGTTTGGGAGATAAAATGTGGTTATTATTAGGCCACTGCCTCAGTCTCAAAGGTGTTTTTATTCCCTCAGATAGGAGAAAATGCTGGAGAAATTTATTTATTTATTAACTTTTAGAAATTTATTTATTTATTAACTTACTTTTATTTCCTTTCTTTAGTTATATATACTTACTAGTTTCTTCTATGTTCTTGGGGAAATAAAAAAGGAGTCTTTTATTCTTTGGTCATTCTTGTCAAGATCACAGACAACTTGCATTTTTTAACTCATTAATAGTATAGATAGTTTATACATATACATCCAGACTAATCTTTTTCTAATATTTATTTTACCCTAATTCATTATTTACATAATTGTAAATAATCTGATCCTAGTCAGATATCTAAGAAAATGTCTACATGGGAAGAGAATGGGCCTTAGAGAAGTAAACTTCTATGGTCTGTGTGATTGAGCAAGCTTTCAAGCTTAACCGTGTTAAAATTTTAAGGTGACAAGTGGCAGACACAGACCATAGACGTTTCAACGCCACATTATCTGTATTGATTCCCCATACTAGGTCTTTTGTTGTACGAAGAATGAAAGGTACTTATTTTTTTTTTGGTGAAGGTCAAGAGGAAGGAATTTGTTCTTATCCCAATTCCACTTTATGTTTAGGAAGCAGACTAATACCAAATCATATTTTAGACTGTATTTAAGTGCAGTTATAGCTTTTATTTATGGAACTTCTGTTGCTTTCTCTCCATGATGAAAATCTCTTCAGTTTCCCTAGCAATGTCTAGTGACAGATCTGCTAGACCACAGATTCTTTTACCTTGCCTGATCTTATCTAACAATCTTTTGCCTTCTAACACATTGGTGTCATGATCATTTGCTGCTTGCTTCTTAAGTGAAGGCATAGCCTGATACCAATTTGCAGGATTAGATCACAGATTTAAGCTATCAAGTAGCAAATACATGTATGCTATATTGGGGAACATGTATTTAGGATTAAATTGGATTTGGTTACTTATAGTAAGATGTGGGCATGATATATGTAAAAGTAGAAAACATTCAACATAGACATAAATTTGAGAAAGCATGGCAAGATGAATTTAAAATTCTCTATTTCATTTAGGGATTTGAAATTCACTAGTAAGTAGAAACCTAATAAATTCATGCATTTTAATTTAATCACAATAGTCATGTTTTATAAGTTCTAACTTCTAATTGTATAATTTATACCATATTTGAAGTAAAAATCCCCCCTTCGAAATTCAAGTTCTAAACGTTATCATAATGTGCTATCTTAAAATAATTTGTTCTGTTAGACTAAATACAGATATAAATCGTCAAGTAAAAAATACATAGTCGTGTTAGCTGAAAATGGTTTACTTTATAATATGAAATCACTGATTTAAACCATCAAGTAGCAAATAGATGCCAATCTTAGAATGGTTTGCAATATTCCTGTATCCACAAGTTTTGATAAAAAACAAATCTACGAAAATCAATATTCAAAAGGTCTTCGTTACATCTTTACATTTTATAGTTTCGTGTTGGCATTTACATCATATGAGTCTATCACCTTGAAAAGTAATTTGAAATGCAAATGTGGGATAAACTATGTTGTTGGCATCATACTACTGGTTGGAACAAGTTGGTACTGGGTAATATGATGAGTTCCATTAGTCTAGATGCCTTTCACTTATTTCACGACGGCTAGAGTTGAGGATGGCAGACTAGGCTTTCTTTCTTTGTCTTTTTGGAAGATCTTTTTTTTCATTCATTTATTTAAGTTTTGGCATTAAGTGGGCATTCAATTACAGCCATTGTACCATGTAAAAGCCAAACATGAGAGCTTATCATCATAGTTACTATGACTACTTTGGTTGTGTCCAAACTCTCAAGTTTGCTATATTGATAGTAATTGTGCTAGGTGTACATTCATTGTGTTACTTTATATACGAGTCTTGACACTTTATAAGAACTGTTTGAGATAATCTTTGTGGTGTGTTCTGATATTTTGTACTGTGCCCACTAGTTGCGCAATTGATCCTGAATACTGTGAACAAGTAGGAACTAATAACTTCCTATGAAAGGCAACTGATTTTTTCATAATTTCAAGGCTATGCACAAATTTGTTTATCCAGATTACTCGTCTCCTTGTTATCTGCTCGAGTTTACTTTAATTGATCATTGCTTGCCAGGGATTCTTTTCCAAAAGGAATGAAGTTTTGAAGATGCTTTCGTGAAGCTGGAGGATATGTAGATGACATGTGTTATTTCTTTTATATGGGTGATGATAAGTCTTCTTAGTAGCAGCCTTTTCCAAAGACCAACCAAACTAATGCCAAGCCTTGTCTGATTAAACAGTGCTAAATCTTGGATTTGTTCAGTCAGTGGAGAGGGATGATAGTTGCTTTTGATGGTTTGATGTATCTTCTTGGCAAAATTTCTGTAGCCTCTGTTACTGCATTTTTGCCTTCCTTTACCCAGTCATAATTTTGCTTTTAATTCTCTCCTAGTTGATCTAGGAGTACAACTTATCTTTCACATCTCTCTTTTCCTAAAGGCAGTAGCTCTAAATACCTTTTATAGTAATCCTGTGCAATTTAAACTTTCAAGTCTAAAAGCCCGCAAAGACTCCAAATGAAATTGAGAAAGGAGAGATGGCAATACAGATTCTGTTTAAGCTTCTCTTTCGGTTTTTGAAACCGGAACAAAATAATCAATGCCTAACCATTAGATTGCTCCTTTCTGGTTTTGTTGCACATGGGGACTCTGTTGTTTTCTTATCACAAAAACTGGCTAATGAATATTTTGGCCTGTCTCAATCTCATCTAGCTCAGAAGATGAAACAAACTTCAATTTGATCGAACAATCAGATATTCTACATTATATCACATGCTTTAGACCACAGCCATTTGAAAGGATCAGAAATGGTTTATTTACAATATACTGTATAAAAGACTAGCGACTACACCGAAAGATGCCCCTCAGCAGCCTGAAGAATTGGAAGCCTTACCCTTGGGGATGGAGCTGAAGCCTGTGCAGATCCATAAGATCGCTGAGGGCAAAATATAATGTACATAACTTGATTAGGATCAGCTTGTAGATGATAAAGATGCTGCCCTGCCGCATAGCCTCCAAGGAGAAGGTATGACCTTTCTGACTGCTCCATTGTCACACATAGATCATCACCACCTGGTTTGCAAAGTATTATTAGGAATTTATTGTGTCAAAATTAAGTAAATGACTATCATTGGGAAGAGGTTCTGTTAAATGCAGCGACTTGTAAATATTTGGGTGGTGTGAATGCTGGCTTTCAAGTTGCAATAAGGTATGGTAAGATGAAGCTGCTGGTGCAGAGTCCAAGCAACCGTTTAGGTTCAAACAAAAAAGACCCAGACTGCCTAGACTCTGCTATGGTGGTTGACGATGTAAATTCGGTTGGCATCATTATGTAAAGTTGCTTCTTTCTCACAGGCTTATTGTGATGCTAATTTTGTAGGTCATAACATAGCTAGGATAAGTTCTGACTTCAATCTGAGGTAGTATGGGTAGATTGTTCTGCCTGAGGGCGTCTTTCGTGATGTACTTTGTTTATTATTATTATTTGAAACCAAGTGTTGTCATTTTCGCCCCAAGGAAACAAGAAAGTGAGGAAAGGATTAAAACAAGAGAACTCACAGGCAGCCAGCTCAATTTGAGTGTTATAAATGAAGTCGAGAACCGCAGCAATGTCTTGCTCAAAGTCATAGAATGGTCCACTCTCGAAATTCATCTTCCTAAGTTTACACAGTCCTTCTCCCAACTCCATCATGGCTCCCCTGTGGTTCTGCATAAGGATTTCATTAGAATATATGTACATATAAATCAAGACAGCGATGTTATTTCAGTCTCAACCTGGTTGAAAAGGTGGTGGAATCCGACAGCACATTGTAGAATGCCATGAATGAGGGTTCTGGTGGGATCCTCGGCATTGTTCCACAAGTCCTCAAGCAGGTCATGGCACTTATAGTATTCCCTTTGGTTGAAAAGGGAAACTGCCTCGTCAAAGCTACAATTCTCGCCGTCTTTTCCATCTGCGCTGCTGGAGTATCGATACGAGACGCCCAAAGACTCGGACCTCCTGTGGCCTTTGGAATGAGCACAGGTTGGAATCGGAGATGGAGATAGGGGAAGAGAAGGAAAGAATTTGGGGTTATAGTTATGGAAATGAAGGGGACAAGGAGGAGTTGAGTGTTGAGGAGAACACAATGGGGAGCAGTATGGCAGTTTGACGGCAAGTACCATTTTCTCCAGGTGAACAGGAGAATGAATGAGAGCCTTTTCTTTCTGGGCTCTGCCCTCTGGGTTGCTTTGATTTTTATGTTTTATTTTGGTCTGGTGTGTGGTGGTGGCAGTGTGGGAGAATTACACTTTAAAAAATATCTTGGGAGGAAAACAAAATGAAAGAATTGTTAGACCATCCTGCCTTTTAAGGATTACTAGAAAAAGATCCGCGCGTTGTGCTCGGGCAGCACAGCTGTGCATATGGAGCTTGTTTTTTTAATTGAAAGAAATGTCTGAAAATTTTTACAATATTGCCCCAAAATGCTCACATACAAAATGAAAATTCAGTCAGCTATACTGAAAGAAGTCCCAAAATCAGATCAAACAAGAGAGTCAAACAGTAAAGAAGAAAGATGAAATCATGAAGTATCGCTAGCAATTAGAGAGAATCCAATGATCTTGCATTCATATCCCGTGTTCAACAAAATGAAGGGTAATAATATCACTATTTATCATTCTACACATCCATTCTCATATTACTAACAAAATACATGATTTTTTAAAAAAACAATCTTTTTTAGCTATCAAATATAAGATGTTTTTGAAAATATCTCTTTTTATAATTTTAATTAGTTTTAGTCAAGAGATAAGATTTTTTTAATAAAAATACCTTTAATTGAAACTTTCTCAATCATGCACACTATCATACACGTGCAAATAGGTAAAAAAAAAATAAATATGGTCAAAATTTGGTAAAGGATAATTTGTTAAAGGTAAAACCTTCCTTTGGTTAGAGGATATGACAATGATTTTCTTTGATTTATTAGACATTGTCGTGACCAAAAACGATAGGTATAAAACAATGCAAGAATATTAAACGATTGTTTCACTCATTCTGAAAGATAGGGAAGTGTCGAACAAGTTGAAAGCAAAGTTAGCAATGATAGGGAAGAAGTTGACAACACCGAGTAAGTTAGGTAATGTCAAATTTTTTTTGGGTATTGAGTGGGTTTAGTGATTTAAATACTATATTGGTTGACAATGTGATGTGGGTTTTGTTGTTAAATGGCATTGGTGTTGTTTGAAGTTGTGAAAATTATCAGAGATATTAGACAACATGGCCATTTGGGTTGAATGTTGTAGTGTATGCAAAGAAAATTGGCAAGGTGTGTAACAAATTGGCGATTTCACAGATTACATGAATATATGGCGTGTTGAAACCAATGAATTTGAGGCATTCTAACAGTGTATTATTAAATATATTACATTTAGAATGTTATGAAATTTAGAAATAACGTGTAACAAAAATTGGATTAAAGGTATGGTGTTTAAGAAAATAAAAATTAATCAGGATGTGTAACAAAATAGAAATTAGTCAGGGTGTGTGACAACATAGAAATTATAAAGTGTGTGTAACGAAATAGAGATTATACAGAGCATGTAACCAAAGAAATATGCTTGTAAACATTGTGAAGCTTCTATGGTTAACAGTTCACTACATGTAGCTTACATGTGCAGGATTGTATTCCGATGCAGATGGATTTTAAAGAGTATGAAGATGTTGAGGTGAAATAAACGGAGGAAACAATCATGGTGAGTTTAACGAAGGAAGAGGTGGAAGCAAATATCCTTAAAGCATTGCGTGTAACAACATATTATTATATATATTGCGTTTAGAGTGTTATGAAATTTAGAAATAGCATGTAACAAAAATTAGATTAAAGGTATGGCGTGTAACAAAACAGAAATTAGGTACAGCGCGTAACAAAATAGAAATTTTACAAGGTGTGTAACAAAAGAAATATTTTTGTAAATGTCATGGAGCTTCTTCACGCGATTGAGCTGATTATCATATTGTACAGTTTCTTTAGATGACAAAACATATGCTCTAAGATTTGTATGGCATTCCTTAACGATGATGTACATTGGCATAATGTTTCTCTGCTCTAGTGGAATTAACACAACATCCTCGTCATCATTGATAATTGGCCGTGATAGCTTTCCGGATATACTGATCAATGCATGTAACTTGATTTCATCATTTTTTGAATTTACCTTAATAACATTTTCAACCAGCTTCATCATGCCCACAAACAACAAATCACTCCAAACCCCCGTATTCGCGACTAACCTTTTTTGTAAATGTTATTGATCCAATGACCACCGTGTCTTATCACAATTCACACAATTGGCATGCTATTGAAATTTAAAATAAAAAATATAAGTATTTAAGTCAATTTACACATTATGTTGCTACATTCAATATCCAAAAATTTTTCTACACTTCCTATTGAAAACATGTTTTTTTACCCGCCATCTTCTAAAAAACTTTGCATGTTTCGTATTCATACAACCATTTGCCATCCATAGAATTTGATTTTTATCTCATGCTGGAATCTAAGCGAACTAGGCTTTCTTTTTAACATTATGATATGCCTTTTTGTTTGATACTAATTTTTTCAATATCATGCAATACATGTATTTTGGTAAACTAAATGATCAAGGCATTCGATAGTACTTTCCGCGCCTAAAAGTCACTCCGTTGGTCGTCAGTCGTTTAGTCATGCTATGTGTTTGGCCATGTGGCCTTATATTTACAAATGTATGTAGGTTATGGGACATTAATGAATCGTTTAGTATGCTTTGGTGTAGCCACGCGTTGACAAATGATAGATAAGTTAATGAAATGTTGATTGTAAGTAATGACAGATGTTTTGCACAATGTAGTGCTTTATGCATATGTAGGTTATGTCTGAACCTAGTTGAGAAAGACAATGTTTAGTGGATTTAAATTCCTTGTGATATCAAGGGAGAGGACGTAGGCATTGAGAGGTCGAACCTCTATAAAAATCGTAACTGAGTTCTTTCCACTCTTTCCTTTCAACTTTACTTGTTTCACTTATTTTCCTTTGTACTTATATTAATTGTTCTTCTTGTTTATTGCTCAAAGTTTTGATCTTTAAATGCTTTTCAAAGAAAGGTAAAAATTTTAGTTGAAAACCAATTAACCCCTTCGTGGTTGTTTTGTTGCAAGCTTTTTTATCTAACAAACAAGATCTTTAAGCACAAAATCCAAATCCTTAATGCACCAAGCTTGAGTTGTAGTAAACCACGAACTGTCCAATTGAACAACCTCCGACAGTAATCGACATGAATGCTAAATGGGAACAGCTTCGGTTTTTCAGAATCTTTCTCCTTGGATTTGTTTGTTGGAACTATGAAAACTTTATTATCTTCTTCTTTAGATTTTGTAGATTTGTGAGAGCTTTGGAGACTTTGTTGTTCAAAGTCATTTTCCTCCCCGAATTTGTGTCAAAATGCTAGCTTAGAGACTTCCATGTGAATTTAGTGTTTTTTCGTTTCTAATTTTAAATTATTTTAATTTAATTAGAGATAAAGTATAATGACTCAAATAATCTTTTGATTGGCCAAACTCTAAGTGTTTGATATTTAGTTGGCTGAATTTTCATTTAATCTCTAAATTGTCTTACTTTATTTAAAGATAAATTGAATGGCCAAACTTGGATTTATCTTTAAATCATCTCGATTTATTTAAAAATAAAATGAATAACTCAAGTAAATTTTAATTGATTCAACCTTGTATCTTTGAGGTAATTAATCAAGAAATTAATTACTTTACAATTAATTATACAGCTAGCTTAAATGGTGTCCTTAAGTCCATATGACAATACATGATTTATCTTCAAGAAATTTTTTTAATTTATTAATTTAAAAAAACATGTGATATTTTATAATTAAATAAAATTTTCTCCTACAGATACGAAGAGCCAATTATATAAACATTCGTTGAAAAATTAACTATACAATGTAAGAATCAAAAGACTTAGTAATAAAGATAAAAATATTAAAATATTCAAAGATCTAACTACTCATAAAAAAAAAAAAAACTCGGATAATTGTGTAAGAAAATAGAGAGCAAGAGCCCAATACCACAGCTCAAACGTAAGAAGGTAAGCTGTGGAGGCTGGTTGACCATGAAACGTCTTCCAAGTTCAACTCCCAAATCCCAGCCAGGCTTAGCTCAATAGTATTCCAAGATAGAAATGACAAGAGGAAAGAGTTAGAACAGAATAGTCCCTCTTACTCTCAATGAAGGTATGTTACTTTTTTTTTTTTCTTTTTATTCGAAAAAAGAGATTCGAATTTTACTTTTTAAATAAAAAACCATACACCAACCAATAAACTAAATACTCTCGAATGCTAATGAAGACAAGCTACTTGAAAGACTTGAGTTTAGAATATTTGATAGAATCAATATGCTATATTAGTTGGAACCCCATTGCCATTTGAGAGTTCAGATGTCTTATCTCTTACCATGCACAGCTTTGAAGATCTAAGAGCAAAAATTATGTAGCTTGGTGCTCAAGGTACAATTTATGCGGTGAGGTCAAAAAGTATACATTGAAGCCTAATGCACATCTTATAGAATAGCTTCTGTATATGGAATTTAAACTCTTTTCCCATTCATAATTCAAGAAGCAAGAAAAATAAGGGTGGCATATATATATATATATATATATATATATATATTTACAGAGCAGCACGAGGGGAAAACGCAGATACTTGGAACTATTCTAAGACTTGATTCGGCCACAGACGTTTCCACATTGAGATCTCTTCTTCCTTACAAAGCTTTCTTATTCCACCATAAAATCCATCAGCTTCATTGCCTACTTCTCTATGGTCTTTTCTGTTGATTATTGTTTTTCTCCATCTCGAGCTAGCAGGGTACTGTTTGAACTCTAGTATCACTGCATCTGTCAACAAAGGTAATGGTCAAATCAACACTAGAAAAAACTTCTTAAAGAAAGAGTCGAAAGAAAAGTTTGAGGATTTATGCATGATAAGAGGGAAGTTGTGAGCAGAGGCATTTGCAAATTTTACAACAAAGTTTACATAATTGATGCCAGATGTTTCATGGATGAACTATTTTGCAACTTAGTTAACCAAGTGCTTCATGAAATTTTGAACTCAAGGAAGCATTTATTAGGTTCCTGCAGCAACTACTGGTGTTATTTTTATCTTAAACTTGTCAAGAATGTTCCTTTTCTCACAAGGATCCAGTTACAAGGGATTTTGAGGGTTATGACCTGTTAAGGAATTGAGACCAAAAAAAAAAAAAAACAGGTGTTACTAAAAAACCAGGAAGCTTTTTGTTTTACTGTTATCATTCAAGCAAGATGAAATTGATTAGCACCATAGTTGCCTGCCAATAGCCTGTTATGCACGTCTGCACTCGGTGGCATTTCCCTTCTCTCAGTGGAGAATAAAGTGCTAAAAGTTGAGAAAACTCCATTCCTACTCAAGATGAAAACTGATGATATCTATCTAAAGGAATGTAAAAATGGCTGGTTTGAAGTTTGAAGAACATGGCATGGTGTAATTTAATTTATACTGTAGTTTATTGGAGAAAACTCCTCATTTCATTTTTTAGACAAAAATAGTGAAAAATCATATTTGTTAGCTATGATCTATAGTTTCAGGGCCACTGACATCTTACATCTACAAGGGCAGAAAACATACACACTGAAATCACAATCACAACAATAAACTATGGACCTATGAGTCATACTGCTGTAAGTTAGCAACTTTGATACTTCTATGGAGGCCAGCACTGCATTATCTTTCAAGTTTTTGAAATGTACTTCTTTTTAATTGGCCTAGAATGGTGCAATCAAAACGAGCCTAGTTCTGAGAATTTTTCATCCAGGCAACGCAAGGCAGAACTGCCCTGCATATTTTGATTTTACAAGAAAATTTGTAAGCCTACTTGCTTTGCTGTAACTTTTTTCAGGAAAAATAGAGAAGTAATTTGAAAGCCTAAAATTGTTTTCTCACCTGTATATTGGCAACGGCAGTGATTTTCAGTTCCATCACATGATTCCAAGTGGCCGACAACACCATACCACCACCCTGCAAGAAATTAAGCTCCAACTGAGTAAATATTTAATGTTAAGCACCAAGCATTCAGAGCAATCAAGGATTTGAACTGTGGATTGATTTCACACAGGAAAATAACATTTACTGTTTTTCTCAAAGGTCAGACCTAATGTCTGGAAGCTCACCGTACGGAAATTCTTTATTTCTTCTCCACTGGATCTCAATATGATCACCAGGTTTTAAGTCAAGTAAGCAATCAGAAATGTGAAGAACATGTGAAGGTGTATCAACTGGTGGTACTCTTAGCCTATCCCAGGATATATTCTCCTCCGTTGTCCGCCGCCCGTGAGGTGAGTACCTAAACTTCAAAATACAGCTTGAGTAAGGAGCCACATAGAAGCATATAAAACCGCTCTTTAACTCACTTGTTTTAACTCTTAGATTGGGTTTGGAATTCCTTTGATTCTAGCAAAACAAGATCAATAGAGAAAGGGGATTGAATTTGATGAAAGTTTGAAAGTTGAGTGCTCGCAGGTCAAATGTTCAAAGTCAGATGCTCAAAACTGTGGATTAAAAGAGAAATCACACTATACCTTGCCTGGAAGGTGTCTGTCTTGGAATCATAGCAAAGTTTGGCATCATAACATGATAGCATAAACCCAGCATGTCCATTCTACAACCAATCCCAAAAAAAGAATTTTTAACTCAACTTTTTCTACAGCAAAAATAGCAGTTCTGATGAATTTTATAACCAGCAACATATATGTGGCGAAGAATCAATGTGAAAAACATATGATTTAAAACTGAATAATTATATGAAGGCCAATTACCTCACGATTATAGACCTGTGCTGGGAACCAGAATTTTCCAGTTTCCAGAGATAGATACCAAGACATGATTGAATCAACTGGCAAATCAGTTTTCCGCTGGCTGCTTCTGCTTTCTAAATTTGGTTTAAACCAAGAGAAGGGCCACATGTTAGTAAAAGATCCCAGAAACCCCTTTTGCGTACTTGGACCTAATAGGTTCGGTCTCTTTCTTGAAGCAATATGCCATTGCCATTCCCTATGAGCAGCATCGCCAATCACTTTACCCCATTTCTGCTTCATGTGTTTCTCCCACAGATGATCGCTTGTACATCTATCCCTAAAAGAAGAGCAGACACCTGCCATGCTACACAGTCCAGCTGGTGATAGGCGCTCTAGAATGCACTCTAGAGTGAGCTCAGGCAAATCCAGCAGAGAAATCCTTTCTTCCTCCACATTATCCACCTTGGGACCAAGCCTCATCTTCTGCCTCAGTGTCATGATCATAGGAAGCTGATTAAAACTGATTCCAAGCCTACCCTTTTGGAACCAGGACACCATAAAGCTTGAGAACCCTTCCCAAAACCATCGAGACAACAATCTCCACTCGCCCTTCATTATTGGATATTGGTTCTTGAAAGACAATGACTTGGATAGAAGAATAAAAGAGAAACAAGATATCAAGAATAAAAGCATTGGATCGAATGACACTCTTAAATCCCAAGAATTGGTGTGTTCAAGGCTCAAGTTCTGGTATACGAGAAGAACATTAATAGACATGAAATGAAACAACATACCATATATATACTATAAGGTTATAAACAAAGAGAATTTATTAATTTTGTAGGGGTTCATGTTTATAGATTATAGTATAATATCAGTATTTGTTATGGTTGTGTTTTCACTTTGATTAAATTTTATGATAAAGAAGGATGAACCAATGAGAGGGAAGATTGTGGTGTGTCATAGCGAAATGGACGGAGTTGTCAAGTGGACCTCGAACACAAAGCCTGAAACGTAATAAATGGCAGACACCTTAGCCCACAATTCATTGATTGCATCTACTTGGGTAGTTAGATTATTACTTTCTTTCTTTCTTTTGCTGCTTACAAGTTTGATTAGCAAATGCATAGATGAGCAGCACACGAGAGACAAAAGGCTTGCACCTTGCTGGCTTTGGGGCCTTTTAGCTTTCAAGTTTAAAAGCCCTGGGCTCATCCCAATACATTGTATTCGATTCCCATTCCTCGCGCCCCCCACCACATGGGACTGGGGGAAATGAGAGCCGAATTGTACGGACTATGGGGGACAGCTGGCAGTTCTAGATTGAGAAGATCACAGGAATATGTTACTATATTATATAAAAATCCAGGAGACAAAATCTAGGGAACAAGGCTTGTCAGATTTATATGAGGAGAAGCCACATGTCCAAGTCCAGGAATACAGAGAGAAAGAGGTTAGAAAAATGGTTTAAGCAATGTTGGTAGGCTGCTAACTCATCAAACTTAGTTGAGTTGGATAGCAGGAAGAGTCAAAGACTGCAAAATTTAGCTTAACCAAAAGCTTTGGAATCTCAGCCTGAAAATGTAAATAAAGAAAGGGGAAATTGTTGTTGAAGGTGGGAGATGAGGATTAAGTTGAAGTGGGTCCCAAGTGAATTCATCCAATTCACTCCAAAGGGGAGAAAAGGACTGATATCTGATTGATGGGTTGCTTTTAAAACATTGAAGAATGGTACGGGGTAGGATGTTGATTTGTCACAAAGCCATAAAAAGGGCCAACGTCATTACTTGGCCTAACTTCCACCAAACTCTCAACACCTCGCTTCCAATCCTTTCTCCCCCACGCACACCACAAGCTTTAAACTTCAAAGCTTTTGCCCCAAAAGATGAAATTTTGCCAACAAAATTAATTAATTAATTAATGCCCCTAACAGAGTATGTGAAGGTGACTTTGTTGAGGTCAATCAAACCAAAGCTTTATTTTTTCCATCCATTTTGCCTTGTGACATATGATGATGCTCCCAATGTCCACTAGCATAGGATTTTTCATGCTACGCTCTAACCCTATATGACCTAATTATGTTAATTATTGTTTCTTGTTTTTCTTGTCTTGTTTTACCCACTTCATTTATGTAAAAGAAGGTAAAACAGGTTTTTATAGAAAAAAAAAACATGAAATACTTTCGGAGCTTATTAAATAATTTAACTTATAATCAGCTAATTTTGCATGCTAATAGTGAATTTTAATTGAATTTTTATATTTTCAATATTTTGATTTATTTTTTTATTGTTAGGTTTATATGCTTTATTCATTTTCTTAATATCCAAATTCAATTTGTATACCATTTTACAATGAAAGAGTTAATTCATGAGATAAGTTTGTCCGACTCCATAATAAATGATCTTGCATTTGAATTTAGGGGCATGTATTAATCTCTAATACAAGATTCTATGATATACATATCTTACTTTATAACAACTTATCTATCTCGGATTTTATGTAGAAAAAATATTCAAGTTGTGTTTGTATGTGAATAAATTGATTCGTGGGTGATTAAATTATTTGCCAAGCAATCGTAGAGCATTCAAAATGATAGATTTAACAAACGGAAAACTCTTTAGAAGCTTTGTGTGTTAAGACATAGATCCACAATTGGAAGTTGTTAGCTTAAATGGATGTTAGAAGAGCGATAAAACTAATTATGGAAAAAACTGATAAACCCGTGGGTTTAGACTCCACAAGATATTATCATTTTGTTTAAACTTAGAAATGCTTGGATGGAATACTACTGTCGGAAACTTCCGTAACTTAGCATGTATATTTGCTTGAGGTGATTTCATTGGGAAATGCTAAAACAATCCATATATATATAACAATGTAAGTAGTCCAAGTATGAGACTTTTATGACAAATTTGGCTGGGAGGAATGATAAATTTATTACTTTGTTTGGTTGGTTTTGGTATTAAGGAATAGTCATTATTTAAAAATATAAAATAACTAATATGAAGCATTCTGTCCCTTAAGAAATAGAGTCTAAATATTTTTAAATAAAAATACTCCTACTCATTTTAAGAAATTACTAACCATATCATATTAAAGTTTCTTTTCCTCAAGTGGTGAGGATTAAGAAAACAAGAAGTATGCGGAGTAAGCGGTGAAGTCAAGGCAACCCAATAATCTTAAAGGCTTAAGGCTAAATCTTCAAATGAAGTCTTTTTTATTAAAATTAAGAAAATGATACCTTTTTATTGAAGTTAAGGAAGAAAGAGAATGAGGAAAGAAGAATTCAGAAGTGAATTTTATAAATTGCAAAAAAAAAGATTATATATATATAAATAGTTGTTGGAGATAATTAAATACATATTATAGTTAGTTGATTCGGGATAAAAGAAACAGTTAAGCATTAATAGCATTATGGGAATTGGAATGTGACAAAAAGTTGAGATTTATTAAGCACATATTTAGTGAAGTGAGAAAATATGTCATTTTATTAATTATATTGACTTTTACATATTTTTAAATAAGAAATTATATAAATAGTTGATAATTAATAAGGCTCTGTGAAGTGAGAGAAAATAGATATTCATTAGGTATGAGAGGATAGGTAAATATTTTATTAATTATCTTAATTTTTGTATATTTTTAATATAATTAATTATATTATTATAAAATTATGAGACCTATGAAAATTTGGGGGCTAAAGCAATGGCTTTGGTGGTTTTATGCTATAGTCTGCCCTGATGAAGCATAGCGAATGGAAAAAGTTAAGTAAAGAGGAAATTTGGAAGAGCTTTAAAAGAGTTTTAAGAGAAATCCCTAATCAATTTCTAACCTCTTGCATAATTGCCAAAGTTCTATATTTATATTAAATAGGAGCACTCTCTTAGGAGCAATTGGTAGAAGGAGAGCATTTTTTGGAAAACACATTTTGTATGGAAGAATGTGCTTGTTAGGGGAAAAACATGTCCACTATGTGGAGAATGACTTATGGGAATAGCACCTTGATGAACGACTTATTGGACATTATGCGAAGAGCATGTAATTGGATAGTGTCTTTAGGGGAACACATTTTTAATGGAAGAATTTGTTTGTTATGGGAAAAGCACATTCATTATGGGAAGAGCACATTCATTATGAGAAGAATGGCTTACAAGAAGAGCAAGTTAAAGAACAACATATTGGATATTATGGGAAAAACAAGTAATTGAATAATATGCGTTTTCTTGAACTTAATGTCAAGCAATTGAAATTATCTCAAATATATTTTTAATTCCCTAAGGTTACATATTTGTTTGGAAAGCCACGCATCTTTAGAAAACACTTTATAAGGCTTCAAACAATGCATTTTCAGCTAAGAAATCAAGAGTGAACATGCCTTAAAATGTTTATTTAAAAATAAGTATAAGACAAAGAGGAAGTTGTTGGAGAAAAGTATTGAAAAGCTAAGGAAACCTCACGAAACAGGCCAAGAGTCGATCTTAGAAAAGTTTAAGTTGATTTGAAGGCTAGAAAAGTGGAAAACATGAAGATTATATAGTCATGGTTAACTATAGAGGAAGCATAGTCAACCTTAACAAATCAGAAACAAAAAAAAGTCAAGATTACACAACCACAGTCGACTATAGAAGAGGTATAGTTGACCTTGACAAGTCAAAGTAAAAAAAATCAACTTTAAATAGACATAGTCGATTATAAGAGAGGCATAATCAACTATGGAAGTCCAAATTTGAAAAATACACTTTTTCTAGAAGTTGATTGACTAGAAGAAGTTTATACTCGACAGTAGAAACCCTAATCGAGAAATTTAAAGAACATAGTCGACTTTAACAGCATTGTAGTCGACCCTTAAGCTTTAGCAACGGTCATATTTGATTCAAACTTGTGTCCAATGGCTCTAAACCTTACCTCAGCTATAAATAGAAACATTTGAGCCATTTGAAGTAGAGAAGACTTGAACCAAAGTTTCAAATCTTAGAGAGACTACTCGCAAGCTCATCTTTGCTCTTTAACATTTTTTTAGTTTCTCATCAAGCTTTCAAAGTTGAATCCTTACTTTAATTCAACTGAAATTTCTTCTTTCACGGCACTTAAAGCTAAAATCTCGAGCATGCAGCCTTTATGAGGCAAATTTTTGTTGTTACTCCTTTGTACACATATCTTGTAAAGGTTATAGCTTAACCTTGAAAGCAATCTTGTAAGGGTTATCGCTTCTCATTTAAAAAGCAATAATCTTTTGTGGATTATGTGGGTTATCGCTTCATCTTGTGAAAAAGCAAAAATCCCTTTATAGGTTGTGTTAGGGTTATTGCTTGATCTCATGAAAATCCGTTGTAAGGGTTATCACTTCATCTTATGAAAAGAAAAAATATCTTTTTGGATTCTGTGAGGGTTATTGCTTCCCATCAAAAAGCAAAAATTCTTGATAGTGGAGTGAAATTCCTTGGTTACCAAGAGAGTGAATGTAGGCATTGAAAAAGTTGAATCACTACAAACCACTTATGTCTCTCTATAGTTTCTGCATTATTATTTATTGCTTATACTTCGGAAAATAGATTTATATTGATTTATTGTTTCTCTTAGGAAAATATTTTTGCTTTATCTTTCATAGCTAGCATTTATTTCAAGAAAAATATTTTACCTTGATTTATTATTTTTATACTTAGTGATTTATTATTGAAAATTTGTTTATGATATTAGGAAATATTTTTGGGTGAAAAAGATTTGATGTTTAATACATACATTTTAAAAGAAATTTTTAATATATCAATTCACCCCCTCTTGGTATATTGTTCATTGAGACTTCTACACTAACAATTGATATTAGAGCTTGGTCTTAATCTTGTAGGTCTATCGCATTTGAGAGATCCTTTGTAGAAACTCAATTCGACAAAAATGGAAGTGACGACTGTCGTACTTAGTGAAAGGCAATCGATCTAAAGACCACCTCTCTTTGCAGGTAATAATTATCCTTATTGAAAAAAGGAAATGGAAATGTTTATTCAAACTATAGATTTGGATGTGTAGAGTGTGATATTAGATGGCCCTAATGTTCCATATAAGTTAGTAAAGGGAAAATCAATTATTAAACCTAAAAATG